ATTTCTCTTGATATCTTTCGATTTTAGAATACAAGAGTATCAATGTTAAACTGGAACTTTGCATAAACAAACAAACAACACCTCAATAGCATTGCACCAAACAGAAACTAGATATGAGTATAAATTAAAAATAAAAATAATGAAAAAAAATTTAAAATTAAAATTTAAAATGTAACACAAAAATTTCCTTGTTGAAATTATTCAACAATCCCCGACAGCGACGCCAAAAATTTGATAAAAATTTAGTAAATGTACTAAACGTATCGAAGTAAAAAAATATGTGTTCATATCCACAGGATTGAGATGTTTTAGCAAGTAAAATTATGTGCTATCGGAAAGTAAACTTGGGGGTTTGCTTGAGATTTGTATCGAAAATACTTAAAAGTTACAAAAATATCAAATGGAGAAGACGATTAAGTCTTATTCGAATCTCATAATTTCATTGTTGATGGGTGTGTTTATTTGTCTAAAGCTCATTTTACAAAATTACGATGAATTAACAAGACCGTTATACCTAATTCTTTGGTGTATAACTCACTAATTTAAACTACAACTTCATAAACTCTTAAGCAATTTGGATTGTAAAATCACGCAATTTACGTTCGTTAATTCTTTTGCCACAACTAATAATTTCTTATCCCTAAATCAATTATATAGATTAAAAATTACTCTAAATCAAGTTGATAGAGTTAGGTTAGTAATATCTATTATTCAAAGATTAATTTGGGGATTCATCAACACAAAAAGAGCGTTAAACTAAAGGGAAATTTAATAGAAAATATAATCTCAACTTCTGCAAATAACACAAAACAAGTCATATGGTTCAATAGTGGGTTCATCACCTAAGACCTAGTCAAAATTAAATTAACTACTCATAGTAATAAAGGTACATACAATGAGTTTAGAAGAATAATATATGAAACTCAAGGATTAATATGGTTTCCAATGGCTGAAAACCCAATTTCCTTAGCTTCTGAATCTCCTTTCTGTCACTTCTAGCTCCAAAATTGTTAACTCTAGTAAATGTGCAATTTTTTTCCTTTTGAAGAGCCAAAGACGCGTTAGAATACATATCCATTGTGGCCACAACCACTCTCATCACACCTAAGATGCGCTGACATATCTTGAATTGCAGTCGCGATATTTATGTCGCGTCGCGATGACATCCAGTTGCACCTTTGATGGTCACCCAGATTTTCCAATGATGAAATGTTAATCTCTATACTTTTTCTTCTAAATTTCACAACTCTTCTTCCTTATTACACTTATTCAGTTATTTAATGTTTCTTCTTCAAATTAAATCAAATTGGCTTGAAAATAACTAAAAACAATCGAAAATGCTTGTAAAATTATATGATGACAAAGTGTCATTAGTTACACAATGTATGAAGTGGCAGATGAAGTATGGTTGTGAGGAATAATTTTATGGAGGAGGAATGTCATCCATATTTGGACCTGACTATTTAAATCAAATCTCATGTAATGGATATGTCTCTCATCTCGTCCCAACTCATAGGTTTTCCCAACTTTGCATATATCAATAGTCATGCGATTATAGCCTAAGTTACCTTTAGCTGATTAGATAGAAAACATGTCCAATTTTCTTGGATTATCCATATAATTATCTTGAATATATGAATGGATGACTTCTTTGTCAAAAGGAACCATTTGGCCTTGAACCCAAGATAATCTTTCCATAGGTGTATTTTATGTGGGCTTGGCATTGGCATAGAATTCCTTGATGATGTCTAGGTTAAGGTGTTATAGAAGATGTACTAGAACGCTTTAATCCCTAGCATTGATCTCTTGTACAATATATGAATAATCACCTTGGTTTTCTAACTCAACTATCCACTATTGTACCATGTTATGGCTTTCGAATTCAGTATAAGATTTTTCATGAATGTGGCTCATATACTTATGGTCTGTCATAGAGTGTACCAAATGATCCTACATTAGAGGCTTGCCTTATTTTTTCGAAAATTGATTTTCTTGGATCCATCTGCAACATTTAATCAATAACATACAATAACTGAAAATTTATTAGGCAAAATGATTAAATACACAAAGTTACAAAATTCCTTTTTTTTCCACTATGTTTGTTGTTTCAACAAAGATGATGAAATTCAAGGTTTAGAATGTCCTTGAATATATTTTTCATGTGATGCAATCATTTCATATTCTAGTCAAACTTAAAGGGATATCATCTAAAGCAACCTACAAGTTTACAGTACACAAAAACTCCATTGTTCATCCTAATGTATAAGTTCAAGTATACATGTATTATTTCTCAACATCAAATTAACACAATGAAGAAATTATTTCATCTTTAATTTAGTACTAAAATAGGGAAGTACTGAGTTTGTTCAACCAAGTTCAAAGTGTATAAACATTAAACATTATGCAGAGAGTAAAACGACATACCTGAGTAATTCTGAACTAAATAAAAAAAGAGTGAATTTGGTGTTTTTCTTCTTTGAAACCACTCTCTTGGGTTTCTTTAAGGTTTTTCGTGTGAGGATGTAATGAAGAGAATGTGAGACATTATTTGAAGTGGGTGATTTAAAGTATGACATTGTTTCCTAATGTTCTAAAATAGGCCTCTCACCAAGCGAGTTCCACCTAGCTAAGCGAGAAATCATGATTTTTAAAATTCTTTAAAATGGTTCTTCGCTATCCAAACAGAGTTTGACAAAGCAATAAGTGGCTTGGTGATTCTGCACTGGGTGCACTAAGCGAGCATTGGCACGTGCTAAGGTGCGCTTAGCGAGATGCCATGCATTCTTTGTTACATCTTCCTCCCATAACTGTTATTTTGAGAAAAATTTAAAAGACTAACTAAAAAGATTTGGGTTGCCGCCCAGGCATAACTATAAAGTGGTAGAGGAAGTATGGTTGGGTTGCCTCCCAGCAAACATTTGTTTAACATAAGTAGCTTGACAATTGTCAATATTACGTAATATTAATTATCTTAAAATATACCCCATGATCTTTAATTCTGACATTCACTTGACATGTGTCAATGTCCACAAACATTCTTGCAGTTTTCATGAATGATCTTTCTAGAATAAGAAGTATTTTTGGGGTTGCCTTGATATTTACCACCACGAAATCTACAAAGAATGAGAAATTGTTAATTTTGATCAGAACATCTTTGATTGTTCCCATTGGTATTCTACATGTTTTGTTTGTTATCTATAGTGTTGTCACAGTTTCTTCTATTTAGAGGTCACCAATTTTCTTTACCAATTTTCTTATACCCAAGTCGAGGAGTACACTTCAAACTTCCATATCACCTTTGGATATAGGTAACATGACTACATCATAATGTGCTTTCTTTTGGGATAGAATTTGTTGGATAGTTTCACAATTTTCCTCTTGCCACTCGTAGGTTTTTTTTGTTTCTTTCTTATTTCCCTTAACAACAATGATTTTATCAATAAAAACATCATTACAACTCTCTTTAGGATTATTTTAGGTGTTTACATTTAATGTGTCTTTTTGTTGGTCAGTGAATTGTTTTGCTAATTGGTCGACTTGCATCTCAAGGTTTCTTATAGACACTTCAATATTATTTTGGCTGACAATAAACACTTGCATAAATTAGTTGAGTGTGTCTTTCAACTTTGTTATTTTATCTTGTTGTGGAGGTGCTTGTGTGTAACACTGATAGAGTTGTTTATTTGATGGACCAACTTTAAATATCCATCTTTGATTGAAGTTGTTGTTCTTTACAAATTTTTTGTTTTTATATTGCTCAGGCCTCTGTTGATTTCCAACATAATCGACTTCTTTATCAGTTTGGAGAAAAAACTAGTTGGGTGATCACTGCTGCATAATTCACATGATACAATTTGTTTTTGTTGTGGTGATTCATCCATCTTATTTTATTGTTGTGGCAGTTTAGGCAACTACTTTGTCAACCAATCAACTATTTGTGTCAATACTTGTTCTGTGTGAGAATAACATTACTGGTATTCTACTCCATGATATCATTTTCCCTTTGTGAAGTGTTTATGTTATGTTGTCTTTGATGATCATTGAGTGTCATTCTTTCAATGATTGAAATTGCATCTTGTGCATTCTTTAATATGAGAGAACTCCTGCAGTAGCATCTAGAAATAACTTTGGTTGTTGTAATCCATTTATGAATATTGTGAATCTATATAAGATCGTCAAAATCATGATTTGAGCATTTCTTGAAGATGAATGTGTACCTCTTAGCTTTTATAAATTTGATGTGAGAAAAGAATCTATTTAAAAACTTTTCCCTTATCATTTTCCAATTTGTCATTGTCGATTTTGATTGGTCTTAATGCATTTTAATTTGTAACTTGTAAGACTAGCCAAGTAAATTGTACATTTTTTCTAAACACATATTTTCCATTGTGTTTTTCAACCATAGAATTAAATCTTTTGATAGTATCAAACACTTCATTCTCTCTTTTATCCTACAATCTATCTATGGATGAGACAAAAGATTGAGATCATCATCTCTTTGGATTATCATCACAATATTAAATATAAATTTCCTAGCCACATCCACAAAATATTAATTCTTTCAACAGCTTAATTCCAACAAAATTCAGACAAGTGAGCGAGTCATTTTCACTCATCCGTGTCAACAATGAGATGACAAGACCCCAACTCACCAAACCAAACGTAAGACATTTTCTGACAAAAAGATGCATTGTATATTTTACTATTTTCATATATATTATTGCGTCACACGTCACAAATCCAATATCATTGTATATACTACTAGTGCTAACGTTGTAATCAATGTCTCAAATCGCTCACCACGTATTCTTATATACAACAAAAACCGTATCATCAACCACTTCCTCACTCAACCATTTGTATCATTCAATCTTAGACTGTGGTGCATGTTTCATGGTGAAACTCATGAAAAAGTAAACACTGCAAAACAAAGTAAGTATCTTTCTAAATATTTTTCATACAAAATCACTTGTTGAGAAAGTTATAGATATCCATAATCCATGGATGCTAGAAACTTGTTGAGGTTCCTAGTTCTTTCGTTTGGTTTAACACTAGTTTTACTTCTTACCTGGTTTCACCTTCCAACATCATTCCTTAACAAGGAAACTCTAGACTGCAATATTTACTCTGGATGGTGTACCTCTAAGAACCGTTTTCAATCTTCAAATCCAATCAATAAACCAACATTCTCAACTCATAACCAAAAACCGCGACACGAATCCGATGTTCCTCGCCACCCTTTAGATCCTTTAACCATCAAAGAATTCAACGAGGTTCGCGCGATACTGTCTGAACACCCTCTCTTTAAGTCCTCAAACAGTTACACTCTCAATTCTGTTGTTTTAGATGAACCGGAGAAAGAACTTGTCCTCAAATGGAGAAAGGGTCAACCGTTACTTCCTAGGAAAGTTTCTGTGGTTGCACTTGTGAAAGGTGTTGTTCATACTCTTGTTATTGACCTTAGCACAAGGCAAGTAACCAATGAAACAAGGTCACCTTCTTCTGGATACCCTACTATGACGGTCGAGGATATGCAAAGTGTATCTGATGTTCCGTTGAAGAGCAAAGAATTCAACCGCACCATCATTAAACGCGGTGTGAATTTATCAGACCTGTTGTGCCTTCCACTTGCTGCAGGGTGGTATGGAACACCGGTCGAAGAGAATAGAAGGTTGATTAAGGTGCAGTGTTACTCAAGCAAAGGAACTGTGAATTTCTATATGAAGCCAATAGAAGGTTTAACCGTGTTGGTTGATATGGATAAAAAAGAGGTTGTGTCCATTACAGATAATGGAGTAAACATTCCTGTTGCAAATGGTATCGACACTGATTACCGTTACTCGGTTCAGAAGCTCAACGGAGAGTCGAACTACCTGATAAATCCGATATCATTGGAACAACCAAAAGGTCCAAGCTTCACAGTTGATGGACATATAGTGAAATGGGCTAATTGGGAGTTTCATTTGAAACCTGACCCTAGAGCTGGAATCATTATTTCTCAAGCCAAGGTGAGAGATACAGATTCATCAGAGATGAGAAATGTTATCTACAAAGGGTTCACTTCTGAACTTTTTGTGCCTTATATGGACCCTACTGATGCATGGTATTTCAAGACATACATGGATGCTGGTGAGTATGGATTTGGTTTGCAAGCAATGCCTTTAGACCCTTTGAATGATTGTCCAAGAAATGCTTACTACATGGATGGACTATTTGCTTCTGCTGATGGAACACCCTTTGTCCAACCAAACATGATTTGCATTTTTGAGAGTTATGCTGGTGACATTGCTTGGCGGCACGCCGAGTGTCCAATCACTGACATGAAGGTTAAAGAAGTGAGGCCAAAGGTGACATTGGTGGTTAGAATGGCAGCAGCAGTGGCAAACTATGACTACATCATAGATTGGGAGTTTCAAACCGATGGACTAATCCGATCCAAGGTTAGTAATTAAAATACAATTTATTTAGTTTGAATAATATTTTTGTTTAGGGAATAGTGCTGAGAATCTGAGATTGATGCCCCCAGTGACTATAATGATGCCAAATTTATGTGAGATTCAATGTTTACTAGTATTATTCAATGATTTGTTCTGTGTGCACTGCAATTTCAATTATAAATTGTATTAATCAGTAGAAAATTGTTCAAGTTGCACTATAGATCGATGGTTTAAGGTAAGAGGTTGGACAAATTTTTCGAAATTGATGCTACATGTTTTGTCTAGTTGTTTATTCAATAATTTAAACTAACATCAATTTTTTTCTGATGTAGGTTGGACTAAGTGGTATCTTGATGGTGAAAGGAACAACCTATGAGAACATGAACCAAGTACCAGACCAAGAGTATCTCTACGGAACACTTTTAAGCGAAAACATTATCGGCGTAATCCATGATCATTTCATCACATATTACCTTGACATGGACATTGATGGCTCAGACAATTCATTCATAAAGGTAAACATAAAGAAACAAGAAACCTCTCCAGGAGAGTCGCCGAGAAAGAGTTACCTGAAAGCTGTGAGAAAAGTGGCTAAGACAGAAAAAGATGCTCAAATAAAGCTTCAACTATATGATCCATCTGAATTTCATGTGGTGAACCCTTTGAAGAAAACAAGGCTGGGGAATCCTGTTGGGTACAAATTGGTTCCGGGTGCTACAGCGGCTAGCTTACTTGATCATGAAGATAAAGCTCAAAAGAGAGCAGCTTTTACAAATAATCAAATATGGGTTACTCCTTATAACAAAAGTGAGCAATGGGCTGGTGGATTGCTTGTTTATCAGAGCCAAGGCGATGATACTCTTCAAGTGTGGTCGAACAGGTTAGAGATTATTTTCCGTAGTCTATCTTTGTTGGAGGATCGTTGAGGTCAAGAGTCTCACATTGAATGATATATAATCTAAAATTGATAGCATCTCTGAATAGAATATTATGACGAAAGTTGATTCATGTCTTAAATAAAACCATTGATATTTTGATGTGCAGGGATCGTCCAATCGAGAATAAGGACATTGTGTTGTGGTACACAGTAGGTTTCCATCATGTACCAAGTCAAGAGGACTATCCTATAATGCCTACTGTATCTGCAAGTTTCGACCTGAAGCCTGTGAATTTCTTTGAAAGAAATCCAATCCTAAGAATGCCACCAAATTTCCAAGAGGATTTACCTGTTTGCAAGGCACAAGATTCAGCTTAAGAGATTCTATCTCTTGGTTTTAGTGTAACTATGAGTGTGAATGATGCAGAAACTGGTAGCTTTAAATAATTAGTAATAGCAATGGTTAAGCTTGGGTTGTGATGTGAAAAATGTAGAATGTTTTATTTCTGTCATCATGTACATGTCAAATAAACAATTCAGACGTTGGTCTAATGGAAGCATATTAGTTCTACAAATTTTACTGTTGTGAGAATGAGAATGAGAAAGAGAAAGAAAAAACATAAAAGCTAGAGAAATTAGAAACACTGAAAAATTTGCTCTGTTCTTGACAAGAAAATCAGCATAATCATAACTTTCACTAAAAATATGATAAATTGGGATCGCGCACTCCTTAATCATAAATGTCCAAAAAAAATAACATGTTAGCATAGTGATGTAAACTTTGAATTTCGCTGTGTGCTAACTCTACAACTTTTTAGGGTGAGAATTTCTCCATTTATAAATATATCTTCAAGGTATAATTATTCTACGAGAAACTCTTAATATAGTCCTCATGCTTAGAACTAAATATTTAAAGCGTGGAAATAAAGTATGGGTGGTTCGATATCTGATAGAAAATAACTAATTGGATCTTAAATCAGAATTTGATACCACTTAAAAAATTGTGATTGAGCATAACTCAACCATACAAAACCAGTTTATAGGGTGAGAATGGATCAGAGTGGTGTAGCGGAAACGTGGTAGGCCCATATCCCAGAGGTCTCTAGATCGGAACCATACTATAATATCATGTTAAAAATTGTGGTTGTGTCTAACTCAACCCTACAAAATCGGAGGATGACACTCACTTATAAGCACATGTTCAGGTCATATATTGTCCGATGTTAGAATTTTAACTTCAACAAAGCTTAAACCCAGCTAAAAGTGATTGTACTCCAACATGGAGAAGTTTTGAGCCCGATACTAGAGCAGAACCCGAGTATATAACTACTATTATGCTAAAAATATTGAGATATAATATAATTCAAATTGCATGGCGCAAACGCAAAGTTAATTAGGGTTTAAGATTTGTTACTTAATTTTTTATATTTATTACTTAGTAGCCAAGTCACTTAGGTATATATAAATAGATCCTTTGTAATTCAGTTTTGTAACATAATCATTAATTAATATCAATCCTTATTTTCATATTTTCTTTCTCTCTTCACTAAAAAATGTTTCACGTACTAACAAATTGGTATCTAGAGCTCTAATTAGGTTCTTGATCCTGTTTTCAAGAATCACACATCGGCGATCGTGTTTCCGAGATCGTGGGTTATTAATCAATCACTGCAAAGATGAATGGTATTAGTGGTGTTTAGAATTCTTTTCTAGTTCTTGACGGCAAGAATTAGATTCGATTAAGAAAATAGATACAATCTCTGTTTGGCTTTCATGAAACCATAGAAGTGGTTACTAATGGCGTCTCTAAGTTTGCTGAGAATGCAACCGATGTTCGGAGAGTTGCGAACAAGAAGGCGAAGAAGAAAGATTGCAAGGTGATTTGCTGTCGCACACAGGTCAAAAACGAGTTTAAAAGTGTAGTAAAATAGAAGCGACACTCAAGTCGTATCGCAAGGACTTTCGAATACACGTCGGCGATCGTGTTTCCGAGATCGTGGGTTATTAATCAATCACTGCAAAGATGAATGGTATTAGTGGTGTTTAGAATTCTTTTCTAGTTCTTGACGGCAAGAATTGGATTCGATTAAGAAAATAGATGCAATCTCTGTTTGACTTTCATGAAACCATAGAAGTGGTTACCAATGGCGTCTCTAAGTTTGCTGAGAATGCAACCGATGTTCGGAGAGTTGTGAACAAGAAGGCGAAGAAGAAAGATTGCAAGGTGATCTGTTGTCGCACACAGGTCAAAAACGAGTTTAAAAGCGTAGTAAAACAGAAGCGACACTCGAGTCGTATCGCAAGGACTTTCGAATTGATTTAACCAACCGAATGAAAGAGAGGGGGGTTTTTAAGTTCAGAACTTAAAACAAATATGATTAAAGGTAAAAGCAAAATTGATAAACAAGCGAATCTAATGTTTTGATTTCCTACTTATCATCGATTCTTATAATTTCAGTTCCCTAAGCGGATTTAGTCTTACTCGATTACAATACCCACTGACAAGTGCAATTGGTATTATGTGATGTATTTTCCTATTATCCAAATTAATCAAACGGATTTAAGCTCTCGTGATTTAAGCAAACCCAATTTAATCAAACACGATAATGAAAAAGCTACGCTAATGTGATTATAGTTAGGGATCATACAACAATCGAATCTAATCAACTTTATCCCAAAAGCAGCAATCAAATTAAGAAAACAAAAGCAATTAAATTAAACAAACGAGTTTATAATAAGAATTGAAAAGAAATTGAAATTAAACTGAAATTTATAAAAACCTAAAATTTTAATCTGAATATAGCAGATCGGCTCTTCGAATTAGTTCTCCATAAAAATTACAAAGCAAAGCTAAAATCGTAAATAGTGACTAAGATGAATGAACAGTAGGTGCGGTTGAACTAAGTTAAAGGAGACAAGGATTCGGGTCCTAAATCAAACCGGGTCGAAAATCATAAAAACCGGCCCAAAACTAATTATTTTCTAAAGTTTGAAACTTAAATGATGTATTCTAGTCTTCTACATTCGGAATCTGCTTCTAACTTCAACATGAAAATTTTAGCTTATCCTCTCATATTTCCAATGTCTATTAGAACATATCAATTCGATTCTTGTAGTTCAAATTATGTTCTGCATAGTAAAGAGGTATCAAATAACAGTTTAAGTTGAAAATAAAGTACGAAAATAAAATAAATTCATAAATAAACTTAAATATAAAACCGCACTAAAATATAGAGTTTCTTAAGTACAATAGTAGAAGAAAGTACATGAAAATGCACTGATCACAAGGTCGCGTACTGCATTCAATCGGCAGTAGATTCGACAAATTTCGACAAGATCTCTCATGTTGAATCAACGAAGGAGGCGTATAATATTCTTGTCAAGTACTATGAAGGAGGTGAGTATGTCAAAGTCATCAAATTGCAGACTTTGTGGCGGCGGTGTGAATTTCTGTAGATGGAAGAAGATGAAAACAGTGCAGACTATGTGTCGAAGGTGATGAATCTCCTTCATCTCATGAAGATTTATGGTGAAACCCTAATTGATAAGATGTTAGTTGAGAAGGTTATGTGTACGTTGACATCTCACTTTGATCACGTTAACGTAGCTATTCAAGAACCCAACAATCTTTAAACCCTAAAACTAGAAAATTTAGTTAGTTCATTGGAGGTGCATGAGATTAGGATTGTCGAAAGGAAATGGGTTCAAGATTTGATACACGCACTGCAGGCTCAGGATTAGAAGAAGCATGGTGGTACCAACAAATTCAAAGGCAGAGGAGACAAGACTCAGAGCAAGATGTCTTGGTTGAACCCTCAAAAGCATAAGGTTGATGATAGGGTTTCTGAATCCTCGAAAAGAGGAAAAGGAAACTCCTATCAGAAAGAAAAAAGAAAAAAAAAGTGTGCAGTGCTATAATTATGAAAGTAAGGTCACATGACCAAGTATTGTTGGTACAATAAAGACAGGGGATCTATAAAAAGGCAAGGAGGAAGAGCAAGCCTTGCATGCCAAGATTTAGATGATTATAAAGATATAGTGGTTATGGTTGTAGTTGTTGATGACCATGTCGACTCCAAGATTTGGTTCCTCGAATCGAGTTATTTGAATCACATGGATGGTCGAAAAATGTGATTAGCAAATTTTGACTCGTCGAAGATGAGCAAGATTAAAATTGTTGATAATAGCTCGTTGGAAGTAGAAGGTACTGACAACATAGTTATTCAAAGGAGCAATAGTGGAAAAGTTGTGATCAGAGATGTATTCTATGTACTTATTAATGAAGTGCAGTCTGCTAAATGTTGGATAACTGGTCAAAAAATGTTTCTCAGTGATTATGAAAGATGGAGCCTTAGAACCATTTGACACTCAAAATAATTTTGTCTTGAAATCTCCTTTGTCGAAGAATAGGACATTCAAGACCATGCCAATGAAACTCTATGAAGGTTGTCTAGCCGGAAAGCAATCTAGAAAGTCTTTCCTTTCTAATATGCCAATAAGAGCCTTATGCATACTCGAAGTTGTACATTCAGATGTATGTGGCACTTTTGAAGAGCATACCATTGATGGAAACAGATATTTTGTTTCGTTTGTCGATGAGTTTAGTCGAAAGTAGTGGATCTATCTGATCAAGAGAAAGGATGAAGTATTCGAAATATTTAAGAGATATAAGATGCTTTTCGAAAACTAGAGTGAGAAGAAGATCAAAGTTCTACGAACAAATGGAGGTGATAAATACACATCCAAGATGTTTGAAGAGTTTTATGCAAAGCATGGTGTCGATCATGAGGTAACTGCTTCTTACACGCCTCAACATAATGGAATAGTAGAAAGAAGAAACATGATCATATTGGACATGGCGAGATGCATGATGAAGCAGAAGAATTTGCCAAAATCCTTATGGGGTGAAGTTGTTTCCACTGTTGTTTATAATCTGAATAGGTGCCCTACCAAGAAGCTGAATAACAAGGTTCCTAGAGAAAATTGGAGTGGAAAACGACCTTCAATAAGTCATATGAAGGTGTTTGACTCTATGTGTTAAAAGCATATTCCTGATTCTAGAAGAAGTAAGCTTTATGACAAGAGTGAACATATGATTCTGGTATGATATCACAAAAATAGTGCGTACATGTTGTTCAATCCATTTATTAAGAAGATCGTGATGAGTTGAGATATTGTGATTGATGAAAATTTTGTCTGGGATTGGAATTCTAGTGATGCAATCAACAAGCCTTTGAAGAGCTGTGATTTTTCCAAAGTAAGTAATGATGTTGAAGTCGAAGCCATTGCTGACATACTCGACACAATAGAAGTCGGAGATGGTGTAGCTAGTTTTAGTCAAAGACCTCAAAGAACTAGAGCTCGTCCAGCAAGACTTC